CGTATCTTCCCCTTTAGTTGTTTCTACGGTTTTAATTTTTTCTGCCAGATCTGGCCCCACATTTACAAAGAATTCATTAAAACCATGAACCACATCATCTGTATTATTAATAACATTATTTTTGTCCACAAAAAACTCAGGGTAACCTGAGCTTTTTGCTCCATTTCTAATGACACTATGTAATACTTTCCATAAACCTTTCATATTATTCTTATTATTCTCTAATATTTTATTATAGTATTCTTTTTTACATATCTGTAGAATATGGGTTAATTTATTCTTATATCTTTTATATTTATTTTCTGCTTCTGAAGTTCTATATTTTATGAATTGTCTATATAGTGTATTTTTCTTTTTGCAGGCATTTTTTAGGCCATTAGTGATCCATGCACTGTGAGTTTGTTTGTGTCTCTCTCTGCATTGCTTCACAGGACAGTTTTTGTCATAAAGTGATTTAAAAATGTTTAGAAATTCATCATAGGCCTTGTCAATATCGTCTCTCTCATATACTACCCTCCAATTCTGATTTAGTAAGTCATTTTTAAATGCAATTATGTTATCTTCAGTTCTCAATCTTTTGTATTTGAAATGGCTGGCGACTTTAGGTTTCTTAGAACTGCAGTGATAGACAATAAGAACAGGTAAATGATCACTGATGTCACTATATAGTAGTCCGCCTACTGTATTGTTTTCCATAATGTTTGTGAATATGTTGTCTATTAATGTAGCAGAATGAGAAGTGATTCTACTAGGTCTGGTAATTTTAGGATACAAACCCATACTGTACAATGTATTGATGAAATGTTCTGTCATTTTATGCTTATTTGGATTCAACAGGTCAATATTGTAATCCCCACAGATAAACATAATTTTTTGGAATGATTTAGTAAACATGTTTTCTACCCTATCTGTAAATGTGTCAATACAGGTTCCAGGAGCTCTGTATATACAACTCACAATAACATTTTTAGACTTTTCCATACAAATTTCTACTGTAACACATTGGTGTTGGTTGGATAACAAAACTGATTTTGTCTGGAGAAGGTTTGAACTGGTCTATCAATAGGGGAAATAATGTAATGTGTAAAGAAGGGCTCAAACTGAAGGGTCACGATGTGCAGCATTTCACTTTATTTTACTCGCTGACAACAGACTGGCAAAAGCCTCTCATTATTTGAAAAAGGCTGCTTTCTGGCCATTTAGCATTTTTGCAGCTCAAGGGCTATACAAGATTGCCATCTGGGGCAGGCATGCATAAGCATGGGCTTCACTGTAGCACACCTCAGCACTCTGTGGGTCAGCACATGGTATGAAGAGTCACAGTCAACATCAGTTCTACAATCAGCATTTATAAACAATATCCTTTAAATGTAATTTCAAGAAATGAAATGTTTCCACACGCTCTTGTTTATTTAGCATCATCTAATTTGCCATGGAACAGATAACTTTCTTTTATCTCTAATAAAAAGAAGAACAAATCTTAAATGACTGCTAATACTTAAACTATTTTCAAACTGTGACAAAAACAGAAATGAGGTATCTGAAGTCCACACACTGAGCAACAAGGTGGAGGAACTGCTGGATGCATCCCAAGGCCTGGAAGAAGTCACCAGGAAGATTTCTGACATAGTGGCAGCCAGCCATGACTTGGTGGTACCAAGGCCAGAAGTCAAACAGGCATTGAGCTGTTTGATCTGCAGAGGTATCGCTTTCATCCTCTCTTTGAATAATGCTCAGTGTAACAAACAGTATTTAAAAAATAAAACTTATCGGTGCCGGATTTTCATATTATTCTAAGTTAATCTTTTCAAATCTATTTCTCAACAGTATCTTTCTCAGTTTGAGTGCATGCTTCAGAAATACAGTCCATGACATCAATCAGTAACTATCAGCACATCTTTAAAAACCTGTCTTTTTTCTTTTTAAAGAAACAATGACTGGACCCATGTTTTCCTCCTGCTGCCGAAGCATCGTGGGATGCAGGCTCTGTGTGGAGGAGTGGAGGATAACATCTCCCCGATGCCTTAAGTGCAGGGATCAGGAGCCAGTGTATACCCAGGTTGCTGGACTGTCTGCAGCACTGGATGCTTTAAGTGCCCTACCCTAAAGTGGACAGCAGTTCAGTCGTTTATTGTTAAGTTTATTGTTAAGTTTATTGTTTATTGTTAAGTGGTGTGTGTTCAAATTCCAGGTTCCATGATATCATCATACAGAAAATAATTGTTGTAGTTTTCTTTAGCTGTATGACTTGTTAATTGTTCATCTGCAATGTTTAATACATGGAGAATTGTTTGAATGTGTGTCCATGGTATGTTTAATTATGTTTCTAAACACAGGCAAATAGCTGCATACGTAAGGCAATACAATCAAACGCTATTATTTTATCATCCACGCACCAACAGAACATTTGGAAATCAGCCATTAATCAGAGGTTGTACTTGAGTAAAAGTAGAAGTACTCAGATCTTGTACTTGAGTAAAAGTAGAAGTACTCAGATCTTGTTCTTGAGTAAAAGTAGAAGTACCAGAGTGTAGGAATACTCTGTTAAAAGTAAAAGTCCTGCATTCAAAATGTTCCTCAAGTGAAAGTAGAAAAGTATTATCATCAAAATATAGTGAAAGTAGCGACAGTAAAAGTAGTCATTGTGCAGATTGGTCCATTTCAGAATAATATATATGATATGTTTTATAATGATTGATCATGAAAGTGTTCTCAAAGCTGGTAAAGGTGCAGCTAGTTTGAATGACTTTGTATACTGCAGGGTAGCTTGTGGATTTACTCCAGGTGGAACTAAAGTCTGATTTAACACTTGGTTATATTTCACATCATTCATCCACATCTGTGAAGTAACTAAAGGTATTAAAGGTAGTAAAAGTACACAGTTTACCTCTGAACTGCCATGCTGGTGGTCCATGCTGGTCCATGCTGGTGGTCCATGCTGGTGGTCCATGCTGGTCCATGCTGGTCCATGCTGGTGGTCCATGCTGGTGGTCCATGCTGGTCCATGCTGGTGGTCCATGCTGGTGGTCCATGCTGGTGGTCCATGCTGGTCCATGCTGGTCCATGCTGGTCCATGCTGGTCCATGCTGGTGGATCATGCTAGTCCATGCTGGTCCATGCTGGTCCATGCTGGTGGATCATGCTGGTCCATGCTGGTGGATCATGCTGGTCCATGCTGGTCCATGCTGGTCCATGCTGGTGGATCATGCTGGTCCATGCTGGTCCATGCTGGTGGATCATGCTGGTCCATGCTGGTGGATCATGCTGGTCCATGCTGGTGGTCCATGCTGGTGGTCGCTGGTGGTCCATGCTGGTCCATGCTGGTGGTCCATGCTGGTGGTCCATGCTGGTGGTCCATGCTGGTCCATGCTGGTCCATGCTGGTGGTCCATGCTGGTGGTCCATGCTGGTCCATGCTGGTGGATCATGCTGGTCCATGCTGGTCCATGCTGGTCCATGCTGGTGGATCATGCTGGTCCATGCTGGTGGATCATGCTGGTCCATGCTGGTCCATGCTGGTGGATCATGCTGGTCCATGCTGGTCCATGCTGGTCCATGCTGGTGGATCATGCTGGTCCATGCTGGTCCATGCTGGTGGATCATGCTGGTCCATGCTGGTCCATGCTGGTGGATCATGCTGGTCCATGCTGGTGGTCCATGCTGGTCCATGCTGGTCCATGCTGGTCCATGCTGGTGGATCATGCTGGTCCATGCTGGTGGATCATGCTGGTCCATGCTGGTGGATCATGCTGGTCCATGCTGGTCCATGCTGGTCCATGCTGGTGGATCATGCTGGTCCATGCTGGTCCATGCTGGTCCATGCTGGTGGATCATGCTGGTCCATGCTGGTCCATGCTGGTCCATGCTGGTGGATCATGCTGGTCCATGCTGGTGGTCCATGCTGGTCCATGCTGGTCCATGCTGGTCCATGCTGGTGGATCATGCTGGTCCATGCTGGTCCATGCTGGTGGATCATGCTGGTCCATGCTGGTGGATCATGCTGGTCCATGCTGGTCCATGCTGGTCCATGCTGGTCCATGCTGGTGGTCCATGCTGGTCCATGCTGGTGGATCATGCTGGTGGATCATGCTGGTCCATGCTGGTGGATCATGCTTGTCCATGCTGGTGGATCATGCTGGTCCATGCTGGTCCATGCTGGTGGATCATGCTGGTCCATGCTGGTCCATGCTGGTCCATGCTGGTGGATCATGCTGGTCCATGCTGGTGGATCATGCTGGTCCATGCTGGTGGTCCATGCTGGTCCATGCTGGTCCATGCCGGTGGATCATGCTGGTCCATGCTGGTCCATGCTGGTGGATCATGCTGGTCCATGCTGGTGGATCATGCTGGTCCATTCTGGTCCATGCTGGTCCATGCTGGTGGATCATGCTGGTCCATGCTGGTGGTCCATGCTGGTCCATGCTGGTCCATGCTGGTGGATCATGCTGGTCCATTCTGGTCCATGCTGGTCCATGCTGGTCCATGCTGGTGGATCATGCTGGTCCATGCTGGTGGATCATGCTGGTCCATGCTGGTGGTCCATGCTGGTCCATGCTGGTCCATGCTGGTGGATCATGCTGGTCCATTCTGGTCCATGCTGGTCCATGCTGGTCCATGCTGGTCCATGCTGGTGGTCCATGCTGGTGGATCATGCTGGTCCATGCTGGTGGATCATACTGGGGTCCAGCATAGTATGCTGGTTTGCTGGTCACCAGCATACTAGCATAGACCAGCATACAAGCGACCAAAACACAACATATGCTGGTTTTGCTGGCATACCAGCATTTATCTATCACCAGCTTATGTTAGTATTAAATATACAATGTATTCTGGTAACTATCAAAATAAAGACATTGTATTGTGTTCATAACAGTATTTTTATTTAATAAATTATACATTAACAATACAATAATATTTCAAAAAAAACCTACATCTAAATAAATATATCATCTAAAATAGATGCATTTGATTTAAAAATAACAAATATAATTCAAAATGTAAATAGCAACAAAGAAATTATAAAAAAAAATGTTTAAAGTATTTTTTTCTTTTTCTTGTTAATATCCATTATGTTTCTCTGTTATGTATCTTCCGGTCTTTGCCAATCTGGCCAGCATTTCTTGGTCCTCCACGTCTTTCTCGTACAGCCATGCTTGAAGCAAATAAGAAACAACAATGTTTTAACAAATGGTATTAAATGATGTGATGACAGAACTGTGAACAGAATGGCTGAAACTTTAACAAAATAAATAACTCAGTTACCTCTAATCATTAACCCATGTTTGTATCATTGAGTTAACTCCGTGTGTTGCTGCTAGCATACATAATATATACGTGTGTGTGTGTGTGTGTGTGTGTGTGTGTGTGTGTGTGTGTGTGTGTGTGTGTGTGTGTGTAAACTGCCCCGCCCCCTCGCACACAGACAGGGGAGAGATATCTCTCGTCTGGATTGGAAAGATCAAAAATAAATCATAGACGCATGTTGTAGTCTTTTTGCATATTAGAAACGGAGTTGGCGACAGTAAGACTGCGATATAATGTTTGTGTAGCAATAATACATATGACATCAATTTTTTTAACGTCTCCATTACCGATAAAAAGATCGTTAACGTTGGACCTTAACGGTACCACGGTCTTTAATAATTCATCCCCGGGGCCCCGTTAATACCGGGGCTCGGTACCCATCCCTAGTTTTAATTATTACATCATCAATATTACATTTCAAATAACCAAGAACTTGGTATCTCACAAAGAGCAAGTTGCTAGTGCTGCTAAGAACATACCTTTCAAACCCCATAGCTTCTGCAGGGTGAGGGGCTGCCTGGTGGTCTTGGTGGTGGGGCATTCCTTTCCAGTCAGGCTCCTTTCCCCTAAGGTGTCGGTGCCCCAAAACGCCACAGCCAACTCCTTCACGAACATGGAGTCCCTTGTGTTGTTTTTTATTTTTGCCCAGACCTCTGGACGCACTGGAATCTCCCCTTGCAAGTGAATGACAACAATCTGAAACATCAAATGTGTCCAGTAGCCTATACATAAAAGGTAGACACCAATATGAGACTGAGGAGCAAAAATAAAAAGGCTCCACTATGGAAATAATATATACCTTCCCATGCGGCTCGCTCTTTGAAGGGGGATTATTGGGGTGTGTGGGTGTCCAGGGTGCAGGCTCACACTGGGTCTCAGATTGTTCTTCTACAGAATGTGAATAAGACAAAGAAAGGACAAAAACATTTCAACAATAGTATAAATTCATATGCGTATATCTTGATGGGCTGATTGTTTACACATTTCACTGCCATCTTGTCTGTTTCTTTTATTGCAGTTGCTGATGAAAGTTCAAATGCAAAATCGATCCAAGACTGTCATTATTATTTGCTTGCAATTTAAAAACAAATGTACTTACTTTGTGAAAATACCTGGTTTAATAGTTTATCCAAATGAATGTTTAGATGTGCTGTCCTGTAGGTGGAGACTTCCCCTTCCAGCTCAGCTTTGGAATCCTCCAATTTAGCAGATCTTTATAATGTAATGAAAAATAAAATGATCAACAAACCAGCCTTTTAGCCTACCACCAGTCAAATCTGTTGTTACCCTATGACTGGTAGAAACACAAACATGAAATGTACCTTCTGTATTAACCGTCTAAAGATTAGTTCCTGTTGTAATTGTGCAGCTGTATTATCTGGGAAATAGAAGAATCGGATCAGGATTCGGTATTAGCAGACAATCAATATCAAATGACTCGGATGGTTATTAGCATCAGCATCTGATCACCTTTGTCGACTTGCAGCCTAAATACAAAGATAACTCCTCTCCTACCACTGCTTACCTCTATTAAGCCTTGGTAGAACTAGTGTCCTAGTCATAGGGTCCAGGACTGACTGAAGACATGTGGAACAGAGGACAGGCATCGTTTGATGTACAGGGAACTGGAACTTTGAACAGGTGTTTTCATCTTTTCTGCCTGAAGATTCTCAAGTTCTTGATCAGGTGTTTGATGTGGGCTGGCATGATCCTTTCTGCAGCGATAAAGAAAGACAACAAAGAAAACATTGTTAATAATAGCAATGATGGTAACAACAATAATATTAGTATAACTATTTATATAGCACTTACACAATTGCAAAGTGATTCTCACTACAAAAATAAAGAACAAAACAATATCATCAATCCAAAAACTAAGCATTAAAGAAGTTCAGTGACAAACATCCTCTAAAGTAAAAGACCAAATCATGTGAAGCTTGAAATCGTTCAGTCTTTACAATGCACTGTTGGAAATGACATTCCAAAGGCTGAATCCAGACTCAGAAATAACTGGTGCTTTACCTGATACTGGAGAACACGTTCCACACGGAGCAGCAACCATCCGGCTGGGCCTTTTGCTGCATCTTCTCCCTCTCCACTGTTTCCAGTACATCTCTACTGCCTCTTTCCAATAAAACAGAAATGCCCCAAAAAATCATATTTAAAAAGTTAAAAACAATAACTTACTTTTGGCATTAAAATGGATTTGAATCTCACCTTTTTCCTGGATGTCAGGAAGGCCAGGAAGTCGTTCCCTTCAAGTCCACAACCAGTCTTCTCTTTCTTTCACCCTCCGAAAATCTCCCAGCATGCACCAGGAAGAAGAAGAAGAGGAAGAAGCAGAAGCAGAAGATGCATTTTTCAGAACATTTTCCTTAAAAATAAGAAAAACATACCGATTTCTTTTTGAGAGCATCCATTTCTGTGGATTCCCCTTCACAATGATCAACATCAACTACATCTTCTTGGATCCTTGGAACTCTGATTCGTTTTGGAGGATTTGATGTTGAGTCCTCAATCTCTTGGGTTTCTGTCAAAAGGTAAGTGAAGCTAACGTTAATGTTTAATGTCCATGGTAATGATTTTACCTTACTTTAATTTCGGTAGTTTACGTCAACGTAACGAGTATGCCGTTAAAGTAAGCGGCTTATTCTAAGGTTAAAGTAAGCCAACGGCTTATTCTAACCGTTAGAGTAAGCCATCTTAACGTACTAGTAACGTATATATTATATATATATATATTATATATATATTATATATATATATATATATATATATATATATATATATATATATATATATATATATATATATATATATATATATATATATATATATATATATATATATATATATATATATATATAACATATAATATATATATAAATATATATATACGGCTTATAAGTCTGCATACTCTAGCCGTTAGCAGTGGCGTTTTTATATGTACAAAAGTGGTGGGGCACAAAAAACTTAGATGTCTATATATAAGCTTCTGCAGTGACGTGCAGTGAGGTTCATGGCTGGTGAGGCACTGGCACTGACTCTTCAGGTTTACAAATATTATATTTTGACCTAAACCAAAATATAATATTATTTTCAAAAGCTTTTTTTGTCTGATGCTTCGATTAATTTTAAACGGACAGTTCAACAAAAGGATACCCAAAAAATGTCATTTTATCATTTAAATATTGAATTGTTCTCTCTTAGTAAGATCCCATTTTCAATAAAATGGCGGTCTTACCTTGACTTGAAGATGAAGTCCATTTGCCTATCCTCCTGGACAAAAATTTCTATTACTTTTTTGTAAAAGTCCTCCTTATGTTCTTGTAGTTTCAAAAGTCTATCATAAATCTAATCCATAGATTTATGATAAAAAAATTATATAAGTAGGGTAGACATGTGGATGTTATCCGGCTAATCAAAACGTGCATTTATCTAACAGGTACGTTTCCCACAGATCTTATTTCGAGCTATTTTCTAAAATCCTCTGGAGAAATCTCATTGCTTTTTTGTGCTTACTTCCTGGTTTTAGGACGCACCACTGCAGCTCTCTCGTCTCCTCTTCACACAGCACACTTTTCGCGGCACACGTACTTACAGCCAATCAGCTCTGAATGATTTGAGATGAGTATGGTGGGGATGGTAGCTCCATGCCCCTCTGGTCATTATTTTTTTGCCACACACATTTCATTACAAAATACTCTGAGCATGCGCAGTGTAGTTTTTACAGTCACCATTGACTTCACAGCGAGAGGAAGGGGCATAATCAGGTTTTGTCCCACATGGCTCTAAACAGCTCAATAGGCACACACTGTGACTGTAGACACACTAATTAGAAGAACACAGACTAAAACAGCAATGTACAGACGAATCAGATGATTAAACATGATCTTAAAATATATTTTATATATATATATATTTTTTTTTTTGCATTTTTGTAATCATTATTTGTAATACTTTCTGCTGACACTAGGTGGGGCTGTGCCCCACCTGCCCCTAATGACCAGTCGCCACTGGCCGTTAGAGTCTAACGGTTAGAATAAGCCGTTGGCTACTCGCATATTAATTATTAATGTTAAGGTAGCCTAATTATTCGTACCTTTCACAAGCAGAACCTGGCCGTTGAAATATGTTTTCTTCCCAAAGAATGGGATAGAGGATGTCCGCTTGATATGTTTTTAGGTTGAAGTTTTGGATGTTTGTTATAGGTAGCTACAATAGCCTTAAATCCGTCCGTGTATTTCACATAAGCAAACATCCTGGCTGACAGATGTTTCGGGCCGAACGGATTACTTTTACACATTCTTGGCCTCACGCGCTACCTATTTCTTTTTCGCACGAGACACTGCTCTGGAATCTTGAATTCTAGAATGTTCTTCTAAGAGCTGTCATTATAGCATGAAGCGATGTCAATCATCTTATTATGTAATGCAGTGGCGGCTGGTGCATTTTTCTCCAGGGGGGAACCAAAATGTAAGCAAACTTATACACAAACTCATATTACAACGCAGGGCTAGCTCAAAGGCACACAGCACTTGATACAGTCTATTATTTTAGTGCCTGTTTTTGTCAACCTCCTTATTATGCTTAGGCTACTGAGTGATCCCTATCCTGTACCCTCATTGGACAGCTGTGTTTACTTTCCTAAACATGGCTAGTCGCATAGCATCATCCATGTGGACTCTAGTTTGTTCATGCTTTTAGTTTTTTCTGATATGTGCTTTAAGTCACTCACATCTGTCTGGATCCATGCTGGGTCTGGTCCATAGACTGGTCTGATCCTGACGTTTGAAAAAGGGAGGCAGGGGAACATACAATATAGCACTGGTGTTGCTGCAGGTAGTTAGCCTTCTTGCTAAACCAGCTCCTTGAAAAAGAGCGTGTACTGCCTTCCTCTGTACAACTCCTGCCCTGCCTATGTCAGGCTGATCAGGTCCGAGCTCTTTTACTCTCAGCTTTCCCTCCAGTGTCCTCGTCTCAAAAGGGTGTTTCTTTAAGTGATTAAACATAACGTTCCTTCTCCATATTTGCTATCTAGTTTTGTTTACACTCCGGCTGCGTTTCACTTCGGTTAAATGGATTCCTTGCGTCCCTCACTTGCGTCGTTTCCCTGCGACTAGTCCCTCCCACCAGGGAAGCATGGAGAGACGCAAGGAAACCACGAGAAGCAGGGAAATGAGTTTTAAGAGCAATGGGACGTCCTTTCCTCCGGAGGGTCACGTGAAGCGACGTCCGTTTGTGATGACGCTGCACAGCTGATCGTCTGACAGCAGCCAGCTCTGTCCCCGTTATTTTCACAAACACCCCCGCCTCTGTTAGTACACATTTACTGACACAAACATTTGTATCATCTGTTGTAGACCCAAATACATTAAATAAGAACTCATTCTCAAAAAAGATAAACGCCATTCTTAAAATGTATAAACGAACAATAGTTAGATTAATATTGATTAGAGTGCACAATAGAAATAAAATAATTGAGAGAAGAAAGAGAGATATGTTATCTATCAAAACCCAGTTAGATTAACATTCATTGGATTGCACACTTTGTCTGTTTGTGTGGATATGTAGCAAATTAACATGTTAAATAGCACTTAATGACTGACTGAATGGAAATGACAATAAATGAAAATGTAAAACGAAAAAAGCGATCATGAAAATGTTTCCAATAAATGAATAAAATGATTTTTGAGCACTTTGTTGTTCAGATATATCACATATTTGTAACTGAATGATGCATTCATTGAAACAAAACACAGTATGAACTGAGGAGTGAGTCCCGTGAGTTTCATGTGTTTTCTTCACTCCGCTGGGAAACTGCTCTCATGTCAAGAAGCATCAGATCATTGCATGCGCTGCATCGTCCAATCAGTGAGCGATACACAATAAGGGGGCGGGGCGAGTCTCTGAGGATTTCATCGAAGGATGGTCTGGTAGTTCCTCGATTATAGCTCCTTCATTATCGCTCCTCGCTCCTCGCTCCTCAGTCCTCGGTCCTCCGGCAAAAATAAGGCCATTGGGACGCTACTCAAGATGGCGCAGACAAATCAACTTCCGGTGAGACCGAGACCGAGGAGCGAGGAAATGAAAAATAAGAGAAGTGAAACGCAGCCTCCGTCTCCATCTACTCTCTCTCATTCAAACGTCAATCACTCACTCTGGCGCTTCTGCTGCCCCCTAGTTGTTGGCGGTGTCAACAGCTGCTCATATCTGTTGTTCTGTACGTTATAACGTAGCAGAACAACAGATAGGAGCAACAGATATCAAACTCAATAGAAATAACTTATTTCTATTGAGTTTGATTACTCTGAATCAAAAGTAGCCCTTGAAATGTGTTTAAACAGAAACCTGTGTTACAGTGGAAAGCCTATATCCTATACAGCCTAATACAAAGGCCTATACTATAGGCCTGTGTACTATACAATGCTGCTTACATGGTTGTTAGAAAAATAAAAATGTATAATACACAATATTCAGACACAAAATATACACAGCTTATATTATAAGATTTGCTGCATTGCCAATACATTATTTTCTAAAGCTGTCTGCTATTTTTCCATGTGCTAACTTCCAATATTTTCGTGGGATTCTGTATCAGAATCTAACATTTCTTGAAAAGAGAGGTTTCACTTAATGGTGATAGTTTGGATAGATGGATTGGGATTCCCCATTTGAAGGCACTGTTTCTGGAGTCCTTAATATAAGACGTTGGAACGATTTCTTTAACTCCGTCGTCCAAGTATTTAACGTAGGCAAACATTTTTGCTTAATTGATGGTTTGATGTGGTTGCTGTGTGGGTCAGTCCAGAGCCCTATAATATACATTCTACATAAAGAAGCAGGTAGATTACAAATAAATGCATTTGATGCTCCCAGTTATTTGCATTATCCATCCTATTATATTGTTGTCTTTTTCCACATTTAGGTGCCAGTCACACTTGTTACTCTGGGGAGAATTCTGGAGGCAGGCGAGACCCCACTCCCCGGAACGTTCCTTGCTCGCCTAAACCAAGACCTGGACAACCCAGGTGGACTTGGGGCCTTTAGCATTGCCGGAGAGGATCAGGAGGGGACAGGGAATTCTGGAGCGCCCCCGGGAAGAGATGTGGGCCAGATTTGTCAGAGATGTAAATACATGCTGTGTGGGTCAGTCCAGAGCCCGATAATAGAAATTCTATTATAGATCTCTGGATCAGTCGAACATCTCCTGTCTCTCAGCCAATCACAGAGCGAATGTAACTATACAGAGCGGGAAGCGCGTGAGCTGAGGTCTACCTCAGCTTCCCGCGGTTCACGCACTTCCCGCTCTGTATAGTAAATACCATAGACTGCATCTCTCTTACATATTTTGTCTGTGTGCAGTAGACGTCGTATATAGATATATAATGCTTGCAATGTTTTGAACTCTAGCAACACAGATAAGGTTTAACAATTAAATTATACTAATCAGTTTAGAATATCCAAGTTTCTTTTTTGGCAAATAAATTACTTTTATCTAAAGATATTCTTTAATTATTTAAATATTGCCATACAGGAATGAAAAGTCAATAAATAAACATGTTAAAACTCACACGTTTTTGTTGTTTGTCACATGTTGTTGCACGTCACAAAGCACAAAGATTCCAGAATGTAATGCTTACAGGTCTTTGGTTTGGTTCCCATGAGTCTGTCGTGTCTATTTTTCTCAGACCCTTTGTTGATCAGGCAAAAACATTGGCATCCAAAGGTGTCTTGGAGGGAAAATGGAACCTGTGTGAACAGCAAAGCTGTTGGACTTCGTTGCTGTGTAGACTCAAAGGCAAGACCTACAATGCAAAACACCCGAAAACACCACACAGTTTAATGGGTACTTTTGGTTGCAGCTTCTGTCTACATCCTGGTACTCTAAAGAGAGAGAAACAGGTGACAGGGTAGAGCAGAAATTCATGACTTAAAAAATGGGTGAACAGACGCACATTTGTTGCTTTTCCAAACGCACATGAGAGGGAGTAGTATTGCTCAATGGTTGTCATACTGTAGCTTGTATTTAGCTGTAATATTCCTGAAAGCACCAGCTAGAACTATGATCAGCTTCACTGTTAGGTTTCCCAAACAGTGCACAACACAGGAGCCGATGGAGCTGCTCAGTCAGTTTGTGGCCGTTTCTCAATGTCGAGTAAACCTGCTGCAGAGCCACTATTTCAAGTAGACTACGTCATCGAGTGGCGCCGAATGACTGTTTAAATGCATGTTAAATGCCCAGCATTCGGCGCCACTCGATGACGTAGTATACTTGAAATAGTGGCTCTGCAGCAGGTGTACTCGACATTGAGAAACGGCCATTCTGTCTGATCTTTAAGTTGTGCCTCTCTGTGAATACTCTCACTTTGAGATATTACATCAATACAATTGATGAAGCAATAACAATATTTATAAATAAGTCCAGCTTTGTAAATATGAGGATTTGCTGTTTTTCTGTTTTATATCATTGTGTATGTAATGTCTATGCCTCTGGACATTTGAATTGGTATTTTCTTACTGTTGTGTAAAAATAACAGTTAAGCTATTCATCATCGTAAAAGCAATGAACAGATTAATTGATAACATATGAATGTATAACTCAATAATTGAGGTTATAAACTATACTTAGTTAATGAGCCAGGGGGTTGGTTGTGCCAATGTAGATGGACCATGTCTCATAGTGACTTTTTAAAGGTCTATAGTTTTGAAAAATGCATTATAGCATTGCAAGAATATAAGCTTTCTATATGCTATTACTCCTTATTTCAACCCTATATCATTGCAATTCTACATTTATCAGAGTTTTAACTCTTTAAATGTTTGTTTACGTAATGCCATTGCTTGTGGGGTATTTTTTCTTTATGGAATAGATCAATGATTCGCAAAAACAAAATGCATTTGTATTTGTAAAGATAAACATGAAAAATTGCTATATATGGTCGAAAATAGTAAAAAGCTACATTTTGAAGTCATGTCATAATTACTTCTTTCACACCATGTTACAGCATGGACCAGCATGAAGTCCATGCTGGTCCATGCTGGTCTGCCGGTTTTTGCGCCGGCAGACCAGCATAATGACCAGCTTCACCAGCAAAGACCAGCATGGACCAGCATGGACCAGCATGAAGTCCATGCTGGTCCATGCTGGTCCATGCTGGTCCATGCTGGTTTTGCGCCGGCAGACCAGCATAACGACCAGCTTCACCAGCAAAGACCATCAAAGACCAGCATGGATATGGTGTAATTTGGTAAATGATTCTGTGTTGAAAAATGTATATCTTTAAAAACTGCGTTGGTGTATTAGGGCGGGCCATACTATTTTTTTTTGTAAATCGATCGAGAGGGGTGTTCAAATAACGTATTTTGGTGTGTAGAACACACATCTATTTAGATTTATTTATTTTGAAGTTGTTGCTATGGAAACAACATGACGGAGAAAAAAGTAATATCTTCTACATATAATAACGGACAAAGTAAAGAATGAAGTGTATGTTTAAATGTTAGCATCCCCCGAAGAGGCTCAAGCTCTTACGTTGAGTCTGGAGTTTCAATACATTCGGAATTTGACCGTGTAAAATGTCCTCTTGGGTTACCGTACAGCCAATGCGTGACGTCATTGGTAACCGACGGACCCCGAACACATATGGTTGGGCGAACACATGGAACACATATGGTACTTACATCGGCTCTGAGTGGTGTGAACA